CTGTTTTTAAGAACAATCACTTACAAATTATTACCTGAACTGAAAAGCCTAAAGAAAAACCATCATTCAAAAAAAATAAAAAGATTTTCTATTTCCATTATATTTCAGAATGACTTGACCAATATTAATATTTATTGAATTAACATTTCCTCCTTTCAACCAACAGTAAGAGGCTATTTCTTTTTCCACTTATTTATTTACATATTTTTTAATTTATACCATTAAAGTTATGTAAAAATCTAAAGAGGGTTTCAACAAAATTTAAAGAATAAATAAGATAAAAGTTTATAAAAATTACTTTTTAGAAAGTTTTTATTTTCTTATGTGTTTATGGGACGTTTATTGAGGTGTAGACATAAAAAATAATATCAGAAATAAGAGTCTGAACTACCAAGTATGGCTAGGAAAAAAGAAGAGGTTATATCTCTAAATAAAAAGCACTCAAAAATATTTATTAAAAGAAATGAATACTCAAATACTTCTTTTTTTTATTAGTGCTGTACTTGCAAACCCTTACTCTGATCCACAACTTATTAATATTCCAATACAACTATCTACACAACTAAGTACAATAATTACTGAGAAGACTCAATGCGATTCAATGAAATTAACAAATATTTACACTTCTGCATTTATATTTGACTCAATTAAAAATCATTCTCTTCTTGTTTCATCAAATACTAGCAATGTAACCTTTTCAATTTTCCTTGAGAGTGCAAATAATCATTCATGCAATGAAATCATTCTTGGTATCCCTATCAAAATAGAAACAAATATCCAATACAAATTAGTTGTTTATTCAACTGAATTAACTACTGAGTTGATTAATATAGATCTTGATTACGTACCTGAACAAGATGCTGATGGTACTACAATCACTATAAAAGATCTTCCTTTCTTTAGATATGTCACTATCCCACATTATATTAATGAAACTAAAGATTCTTGTTCCACATTAGATGAAGACCAAGAATCACAAACTATATATGGTGATTTATATACAGTAGATATAGATGATGACTTGGTAATTGAAATTAATACATGTGGATATTCAGATGGACTAAACGCTATTCATGTCCTCTATGAAAACGGTGGTAAATGTCTTAAATTAGCTGACAGTTATTCTACTGGAGATTTACAATGTGCAAGTGGATTGGGTGCAAGAGTTTCAGTTGAAATTCATCCATCTTCTCCACT